TGAAACTGCTTCGGAAATTTCCTAGCAGCAAACGAGGATCGATAAAGACATCAAATGAGAGGAATGGAATAAGTTTCACCACGAACCTTCGTTCATAAAAGAAAGAACCACAAGACAATTAAGTCAGGGGTAGTTATCAATGCCTAGCCGTGGTCCGAATATCGTGAGGTATTTTACCCCCAGGCTCACCCTATCTAGCATCGAACTTTTCCTAGCAGTGATCTGAATATCGTGAGGTATATAACCCCCAGACTCACCCTATCCAGCATAGAACTTTGCCTAGCAGTGATCTGAATATCGAGAGGTATTTTACCCCCAGACTCACCCTATCCGGCATCGTGAACGGAAACGCTGACTCATGAAGCTCGTCTGATCACTTCATAAAAAGAAACGAAGACTCCAAAGCTCTTCAAAATAAAAAGTATAGGGGAAATACTAATAAAGTACTACCGTACGCTCCCGTACCCCGACACGTAATAGTGTCAAAAAGAAGAACTATCGGATGAACACATAGTTCAAAAACACCTAATGAACATATAGTTCGAGAACACCTTATGAACATATAGTTCAAACATACCTACCGATTACGAGTCTGCTAACGTTCCACTGGACTATCTAGAGTAGTATGTGGCCGTTGTCTATACTCTGCAAGATGACTAGATCATCTTAAACATCAATACCTCTCATCAATTTTTATTTCACCACACATCATCTAATTCATCTACCCATGTTTTACCCAACATATTTGTAGATAAAAATACATATACAGTTTAAAAACCTGTATAAATCATTCCTTCAATATCCATCTCAAATAAACAAACAATATATATTCACATAGCACGTATTTTATATAAAATATGTCATATCTATGTGTAAGATGAAAGCGACTATACACTCACTTGATTTAACGATAATCGGGCAACACTTCGTTTCCTAAAACGATCGTTTCTAATAAAATTAGGAGTTTTATTGAGAAACCGGGCTCTGGGAGGGTTGAGCTTCAAAACCGAAAAGATAAAATTTTCCGGGTCTTCGGGTACTTCGGGGCGTGTTCCGGGTGTTGGAAATAATCTCGGGGCTTCGGGGGAAGTCAAATTAATAAAAATATTAAAAAAAGGGGTGAAAAATGGCAAAAATCCCATTTTACCCGGGTAATCTCGCAAGCCTTGTATTTATAGGCGAGGTCCGAAGGTCGGCCGAGAAGGATGAGTCAGCAGCGAGGGCAGGTGGCAACAGGAGGCGAAGGCACGCAGATGGCTCGCACGTGCGAGGGTCCAGGTGTGGACTTCTGATTGGACCGAGGTCTAGGTCCGAGGGGTGCAAGGTGGCGCGCCATGCGAAGCTCGGACACGCAAGAAAGGGCACGCGTCGGACTGCGGTTGGACCAGCGCTTCGGATGTGAGGGTTACGACACGCCTCAGATGACTCAGCAATTTCGGACACGTGGCGCGCATAAAGCGAACGTGATGTGGCCGGCACTATTCATGCGAAAATTCTCGATTTTTGTGCAAAAACTTCTAAAATCCATAACTTTCGCATACGAGCTCCGTTTTTGACGTTCTTTATATGCACACGTAGGTAAAATTACGCTCTACAACTTTCGTTTAGACTTCGTCGGCTAATTTTGAATTTAATTTTTATATTATTATTTTTAACAGACCGGGACAAGAAAATCCGTTAAAAATTCATAACTTCTTCATCCGACGTCCGTTTTCGTCTGTCTTTTTACCGTTCTACTACTATTGACGAGACCTTCGATTCTCGTTTAGGTTGTGTTGGCTAAAAATCACCCGATCTAAAATTCGAGTTTTTAGTTGTCTACTACTAAGCTGAAACTTAGACAAATCATAACTTCCTCATACGAAGTCAGATTTGGGCGTTCTTTTTATACATACTCTCGGTTTAACGAACACTACGACTTTCGTTTAGATCACTAAGGCTAAAAAGTAGTTTATCAAAAACTCACTTTTTACGTCATTCGGCACCGTGCCGGTTTTGTCACGAAACTTCGACATATCATAACTTCTTCGTTATAACTCGGATTTCGGTATTCTTTATATAACTGTAATCCTTATCACGACCACTACAACTTTCTTAATAGATATCGGCTTTATCTAATATATATTTTCGACGCTCATTTTTATTCTTAATTAATTAAATCGTAATAATTAAGCATAAAACACATAATTCACATAATATTCACATAATTCTTTTTCATTTCTTCAAAATAAGTTACAAAGGTTAACCTAGACTATCACATCAATATTAATGCCTAGCCAAGAAACACGGGCGTTACACACGAGGATCAAATGAAATTGAAATATCCTCATATTTTTACTTAGTTATTTGTAATTTCTTAATTGCTTAAACTCTAATTTTGGGACGAAATTCTCTCTAACGGGGGGATGATGTGACAACCTGAAATTTCTATCTTCTACGGCCTTGCAATTCAATCAAAGTCAGACGAGTTTCTGCTATCTTTTAGCACTGTTAAGGGTCTATTTGAGAGTTTCTAAGCCTAGTGTAATGTATGAATGGATGCTAGGATGAGTTAGCTTGAGATCGGGAGGATAAATTCGATCCATAAAATCACTGACAAGGTGTTCACGGCCGCAAACTAGGTTCACGGCCGTGAACCACGTCCTATATATACTAGAGTGACCTCATTTTCTTCTCATTTCTCCTCCTCCCAACCGTGAATACATCCATTCTCTCTCAAAAATCTTCAACCGTGAACACTCTAAAGCCTCAAAAACGTAAGTGTTTCATCCTTAATCTTGTCATACTTGAAGGACTACTATATCCTAGCCTTGATTTGTCAAGTTTGATCATCATCTTCATGAGCTTGAAGGGATCATGGCCGTGGACCCTTCATAAGGGCCGTGAACCCTTCATAGTTTCATAAGGGCCGTGAACCCTTCATAGGTTCATATGGGCCTTGAACACCTCATGAGGTCGTGAACCTCATGAGGCCGTGAACTCTTTAAGGCCGTAAACCCATCCTTGGGTGACCGTGAACCCCTTTCAAGCTTCCATTTGTGAGCTTAACACTTCATTTAGGGTGTTTCCTACAATCTTAGGTGGTTTCCTATACTTGTTAGTAGTTATAACCACTAATTGAATACACATATATGTGAATATATGCCTTATAGGATCCAACTGTGCTTCGGAACTTCATTTGTGAATTCAAGCATCCTATATCTATCTTATCTTCCAGATTACTCACAATCAGGTGAGTTCATACCCTTTAAATTATCTTTTAAATGATTTTAAATTCTTTTTCGGGGGGGGGGGGGGAATACAAGTTGAAAACATTATAGTTATTGTATCAATCACATGTGATTAATAACTATCAAACAAGTGGATTTCTTATACTTCAAAACTGTGTTATCAAACAAACTATTTCAAAACCTTTTATAAACTGACCTCAAGTCATCTGTAACCATTCAAATGGTTAAAATTTCCTTTATATGATAAAACTCTTTTATATGCTAAACTCTTTATCAAACTCTTTTAAACTTATATATTGTCAAAATCATGTCTATATAGATATAGTTATATAAATAAGGTGGAAAGGGCTTAGGACTGATAACTCACTTTATTTCCAGTTCCTTGTTTGGTTGTGGACTTAGGGTATCCAGTTGTTTGTCCGAATGTCGTTTGAATCTTAGTTATATATTATGTATATATGTATAGATATAAAAGTGCTTACATCAGTTCAACACCTTTGGGTAGCAAAGGTGTACAAACATACTAAGTCACTCAAACAACATTACTAGTAAACTATAATAGGTATAGTTTAGAGGACTTTTACTCACTATTTCTAGTACAATGAAACATACAAGAGTCAGTTCATACATGAGTCAGTTCAAACTTACTATAATGAGAAACAGAAAGAACATACTATGATGAGAAACAGAAAGAACTTACTATAATGAGAAACAAAGAGAACATACAATACACTATAGAAAGAGGACATGCAATACACTAGAACAGAGAGAACATACTATACAAACACAAGAACACTATAACATTAATGTGAGGCACTACTTCATGGCATGGCAATATACTGTTGTGTCACGTTTTGTAACCAGAGTCTCCTGGAGGGAGAGCGTGAATTTGTGTATAGATCTATATGAGATTGACCATCCTACACCTTGCTGCTAGCTACAGTGGGACCTGCAGGTCTACGGGTGACGAATGTCATACCATTTCGATGTCTTCGAACATCGTGTTTTACTAGTCAATCAAGTATGGTTACAACTATATCACATTTTACCTTAATTAAACAATTGTTTTAAGGTAGTTAGTACAACGGTAGTTGCTATATACAATACTACAAGTACATCTTTATTATTTTCCCATTACATTCAAATTGTGATCTTCTCACATAAACGGTAATGTAAACTATATTTTTAGTAAATGATAGCCAGTCTTTGGGAAAACACTCACTTTTACAAAAGAAAAAACATACAGAACAGTCGTGTCTTGGTAGAAGACTACATTTCAATTAAAGTAGAAAATATAGGATTTTCTACGAGATACAAACATTTACAAACAAACATTTACAAACACTTTCATTAAACATATACAACAACAGACACTAAATACTTATGAACTCACCGACTTAAATGCTGATCTACTCTTTCAAAATAACTTGTATTCTCAGGTCACCAGTAGACAGGTACACTGGACCAGGTTTTGAGAAGACGGAGCTCATTCAAGACTCGTCTTTTATTTTGATTCATATTTTGGTTTTCGTTCAAACTATACACAGAACACACTTGTATTAAATTATACAATTAATGCAATGGATGATGTTGTTGCTTGTTTACTATTATGCATTGATATGATACTGTACATAACGTCCTCCGCCCCTGAACGTTTCTGCCATTCTGGTTTGGGGGTGCGACAGCCTCTTCTTCCAACATTCGTTGTCCATGTATATTGCAACAACACAGAAACAATCTTCCAAGCAGGTACTTTTGCAGGTGTCATTATCACTGGAATCGTCCACCAGAGAAGTTTGTTGTATTGATTGTTGAATTCATGCCTCCACCTATCTCCATAACCTGAGTAGGCAACAGGGTGTTTGCTGGAAAATCAAAACTACCCCATAACTTGCGAGAATTGCTACCAAAAATCACGAAGTTACCTGTATCATTCATAAAACCTGATGTAACACCGGAAATGGAACCCGATCTCCATACCTCTGTGCCCTGAGGATCGGTGAGTACAAGTCCACTTTCACGAAGTAGCTCAACTTTGGATCCTGTAGGCACCATCCGACCTTCTTCTGGATACCAGACGATTGTCTTGTCAGGTATCTTCTCGTACCATATGGATAACAAGAAATTATCGTTCCATTGAACTTGTTTGAACCCAAAGGCAAATTCACCAAAAGATGAAAGCCATGGTTTCACATCGGATGTGGCTGTGAGTGATGCACCAACAGATACAGAACCATCATTCTGTTGTGCAGCTATGAAACGTAGGAAAATAGTTAGAAAGACGAGACGCAATTGGGCTGGGGCCATATGAAATTGCTGGAATGATGGATAACAATGATGAAACGAGTATTTAATGAATAATAAGATAGTTGCTTTATGGTTAACAGAAAGATTTTTGGAGTCTACAAATAATGCAACACGTCTCTTGTGGGCAGAAAATAAAGATTGGTCTTTATGGTTCCTTTCCTTGTAATGACAATTGTTGAGCATTTCCATTCATTTTTCATTGGTGTCATGTCAATCAACGGAAACCCATATACACCGCAGGAGACATACAATGAACCAACTAGATAACTCAATGACAATTCAATTGAAGAAGAATTTTTCCCGCCACTCTTCTGCTCAGAAATTATGTTTTATTTTATTTTATTTTATTTTATTTTATATTTTCTAATTAAATTAAATAAAAATTAGTGATGTTACAAGTGAGTTGGAAAATATACGGTTTCTATATTGTGGGTTGTGAAAGACGAAATAAAAAGAAATTTTTTTTGATATGACGTTGGATTAAGTGGGTTGAAAGGGAAAATCCTCCTTAACAAATGAAATATTGGTATGCACATTACATTATTCCATAAATTTGTAGTAATTTTTATAATTGTTGTATGGAAAATTTATAGAAATGGACCATGTCTAAATAAAAAAATTATAAAATGATCCTTAAGTAGGTATGACACAATTACAGAATGGACCATATCTTAAAATTTATGTAATGGTCCTTACGTATGACAAAATTATTGAAATGATTTATCTGTAAGATAAAAATATACAAATGATCTCTGTCTAATAGAAAAATATATGAATAGTCCTTATATAAAATACAATTACGATAATGAAATATTCTCGACACGACACGCGACACGACCCGCGACACGACACGAAATAAACGGGTTTGGGTTGAGTTTTTCAACCCGCCAATCCGCCAACCTGCCAACACGTTTATTAAACGGATCATATATGAGTTTCTCAAAAAATAAATGGGTTGACTCGCCAACCCATTTATATTTTTAATAAAAAAAAATATATTTTTTATTTTTAATTGTATTGATATTTTGACTTGTGGTCCTAACTCATAAGGTCGTAAGTAAGTCTGTAACGAATTGATTTTCCTCATTTTTGCCCTAAATCAAATGGCGTATCGGCGTATGGCTGTATGAGCGATTGAGGCATTGAACATGTTTCTATGAATGTTTTAAATTTTTATTTGGATGTTTAAGACTTTAAGACTTAAGTAGTTAAGTGTCTAAAATTCAGATATGTTTGCATCAACCATCAAGAATTTATTCATGTTTAATTGTTAATTTTATTTATGGAATCTGACCCACGAACCCAAATCTAACCCACAAACCCATCAAACTCTGAACCCGTATAAATAAATGGGTTCGTGGGTCATATATGAGTTTATGTTCCACACCCGCCAACCCGTGACACGCCAACCCGTGACCTGTATATTTAAATGGGTCGTGTTTGGGTTGGCATATTTTGACCAGCCAACCCGCCAACCCGCGACACGCCAACCCGAACACGACACGATTGTCTGACCTAAGATAAAGTTATAGAATTGGTTATGCTTAATAGAAAAATTATAGAAATGGTCTATTTATAATAGCGATATTACATAAATGGTCGTTGTCTATGAAACATTATGGTAATACTATCGGTTTAATAGTAAAATTATAGAATTGTTCATTGTATAAGAGAAAGTTACAGAACTAATAAACCTAACACAGCATGTAGGACATCCCCACTTGCCACTAGTTATTCAACTATAAGAGGTTTGTGTACATGATAATCATCCGCCATATTTGATGGTATTTTTTAAGTTTGTATAAAACAATAGTTATGGGTTTTCTTCTATTTAGTTTAATTGTCATACAGTCTCGAAAATATCATAACTCCACTAGTTCGCCATGTATGAAAAATTGAAAATAAAAAATATCATTAACTTGGAAAATTATGATCAAATAGAACATTTCCCTAAATAAAACTCATATTTTGTGAAATACTTTATTTGTTCACTACAAGAAATTAGTGTATTATCGGCGACATGCGTCGCCGCTAAAAGTAGCGTGTGTCGCCGCTAATACGATTAGCAGCGACGTGTGCTGATACTTTGTCGTTGAAGAAAGAAGGATGTTGTTGGACAGCTTGACCCATCATCAGTGTTTTGGCCATATTTCATGAACCGTAACTCCGATTGACGAGATTCGAAATGTTCTGAAAACTAGACACAATTTCGGACGACTTTCGTGTTTTGAGAAAATGTTGATTCCGAGCGAACTTGACGAGTTGGCCATCACCTCGACGAGTTGATCCTAAAGTTCGCAATTATTGACGCTGACTTGTCGTACACGGGATTTTAATGACCAACTCGACGAGTTGGGTCAAAAAACTCGTCGAGTTGGCTCTGTTTTCATAATGTATATTGAAACGCTTTCATTTGGAACCCTAACTAATTCTGGAAGATTTTGATGATTTTTGGAGGCCAAAAGGGTTCTTGGAGCTCTGGTTTTCGAGAATTCAACCTAAAAGTCAAGTTAAAAGAGATCAAAGGCAAGAAACACTATACCTTTTCTTAATATTTTGCATTAACTATGTTTACATCATTAGGTTTCGTTTTTGGATTGTTAATTGTTGTAGACATGAGCTAAAAACTCTTTGCTTCTGTTTTGGGTAGATAAACTTATTACTATGGTTTGATTTTATGGCATGGATTAGTTTTGATTTGGTGAATTTTCTTGTTAATCTTGTTAAAGACCCTTATGTGTTAACAATAATTATTTTCTGTTAATAATCAAGTTATTGAGTTGCATGAACATCATCTTAATTGCTTGAATCATATGGATTTGTGAAAACAATATTGTATACCTAGAATTAGTGAATATGAACCTAGGATTAACCAAAAAAATAAGTATGTTAATGTGTAAGCATGTATGATGAACGACCATACATGATTTAATTGAATTGACAAATTTAGTTAGCTAATACTACAAGTCATACTTGATCCGAATTGAACAACTAGGAAACTCATTAGTTTAATCAATTGGCCATCGTTTGAATTAACTAGTTCGCTAAGGATTATTAATAGTGAACATGTATCTAATCACATTAGAAATCAGTAGCCAATGACATATTAATCCATTGCACTTGCCATAAGATCAACTATATGAATAAGTGAGTCGAACCTAAACAGAAGTCTCTTTTATCATTGAATCTAGTTACCTTCTATTCTATTTAGTTGTTTAGTTGTCTTTTGTTTTAGTGTTATTTGCTTACTTAAGTTTTCTAGTCTTGCAAAACTAGAGAGTAACCCCATTTTAATTAATTGTTTTATTTAGATAATATTAGTATTAATTTTAGCTATTATCGTTCCCTGTATTCGATACCCTACTTGCTTAAACTAAACTGCTATCGATAGGTATACTGCCTGCATGTGTTTGTTTTTATTTGAGTTTGTTAGGATTAAAACTAGTTCGTTTAACACACATCAAGTTTTTGGCGCCGTTGCCGGGGAACGGTTCTAAATAGTTAATTTTATTTGCTAATTGTTATCATTTTTTATTTTATTTGTTGATTAATTTTTTTTTTATAATTTAATTTTTATATTTAATTTTATTATGGATTTTCCAAATCTCGATGCTGTTGATGCTTTTCTTGAGGAAGTAGTACAGGAAATTGAGCAAGAAGATGAGGAGTATGACTCAGATGAAGATTTGATGAAATTAGGAAGATGGTTAGATAACATCTTGTCTAACGAACAAGAACAATCTGAGTCACAAGAGCTAAAGTTACAAGATGAAGAATTTAATCCAGAAAGAGATTTGGAGGAGCAGGAAAGGTTGCTGGCAGAAGGGTCAGACGAAGAACAAGAACATGCTGAGTTGCAGGAACCACAACAAGGTTTGACCGTTACCACGACGTGGCCCCCTGCATTTTCGGTTTGTGTTTCGAAGCATGGGGTGATGATTACAACTTTGGAGGAAGTTCTAAAGCACGATCCATTTCTGATTAGTACCCGACCGGTTCCCACCCTTGTCAAGATTCTTGGGTTCCATGAATTCAAGCTCGGTTGGCCAATTTTTGAAGCAAAGAGCCAAATTTTACAAATTGGTCCAAAGAAAATATTCAATGCAACGGATGGATTGACATTGAGTTTATTGGAATTTTATTAAGTTGGTAGTCCAGCTCAAGACTCGCATAAAAAGAAGCGCTTGCGGGATGCAACCCGTCATTAGAGTTTGCTTTTCTTTTTCTTTTTATTTTTATTTTGTGTGTTTAGTTTGGTTTGTTTCTAAACTTCTAGTCTATTAGGGTAATATAGGAATGTTAATTTGATGTTAGTTTTCCTATTATTATGTAGTTTTTCTATTTGATCTTTGCAGAAGTTATGGTGAGATTAGAGCGATTTCTTAAAGCGTGAGGGAAATAAAGTGAGGGGTCGAGTCGTAGACGAGAAGATTAGAAGACTTTCAGCGATATGTTGAGTCTGATGTTTATATTTTCTAAAAGGAGTCTCGTCACAGAAGATTATAAGGAGGTGTATTACAATAATACCCTCCTTGAACACCAAATCAGAACTGAAGCAGAAAGAAGAGTTTGTCTGATCAGAGCCAAAAACTCGTCGAGTGCATACATACAACTCGACGAGTTCCAGAGGAAAAATGCGATTTCTGCCCAAGTTACGATCCAACACGACGAGTTCTCCAATATCAACTCGGCGTGTTGCTCAGTCATTTTACTTTTGATTCTTCGATTTGATTCCATACGATGCGGGCAATGTTTATATTTTGAAGTCCATTTATGAAGTTTTCCAAGAAGCTTTTTCCAGTATATCTAGAGTTGTCAACCACACGAGACGTATGACACCCAAGGCGTGGATGAGTTGTTCCCATGCCAAAGTCAGCTGAAGATGGAGCTTAAAAAGAAGAAGATCAACCTCGTAACTTCTATCCCAGGGGAGTCTGTTCCAATCCTCTCATTAATTTTATGTTCTCTATCATGCATAACATGCAATGGGGACATTGCAT